TCCGCCCGCCCCGCCCGCTCACCTGCTTGTGCGGGTACACGTTGATGTGGCACTTGATGCACTCCTGCCCCATGTTGGCCCAGGAGTTCCCGCTCATCCACTTTCTCTTGCACTTGGGACACTTGTACTCGCCGAAGCAGCGCTTCTTGCCCTGGTATGGGGTCAGACCCTCGCCTTTGGGGCGTGCCTGGAGGACAGGAAGCAAACACAGGGGGTTGGGGTCCACCAGGCCAAAATGCTGCCCCTTGGGGTCCCCCTCTTCAGCTCTTATACCTTGTGTTCCCCTGTGCAAGCACTCTGTCCCCCGTCCAGAGGACACCAGGGTCACCCCAGAGCACACACGGGAATCCAAGGCTGGGGGTAGAGGACAGAGGAGGTGGGGAGGGGCACATCTTTTTCAGTTAAGGGAGCGAAGCCCTTGGCGGTGCTAGGAGTCACTTCTTTAGCTCAGCTGTCACAGAGAGGCGCGTGAACCCGCACACAGGTGCTCGTTGGCCCACGGTGTGTGGTTTAATGGTTACTGACGAGGCAACACGGGCACCGCAGCTTCGTACACATGCAGTGCCTCACCCCTGCTCACCGCCACCCTCTCCCTGACCTGGAGGCACACCATCCCGAAGACACACTCCGCACTTACAAACATCTGCAACATATGTGCACACACGCTTTCTTCCCTCGCTCGCTTAGAGACGTTATACTGGTTCTGCCTCTTTCTTTTTTTTACTTAATAATGTATCTTGGACATATTGTAAGATATACACAGGATGTCCCCAAAAAGGTATACACACTTTGAATAATTAGTAGTGCCAATGGGTTAAATCTGAAAAGAAAGAAAAATCAAATGAGCTATCAGCTGTTAAGTGTGCATACCTTTTTGGGGACACGCTATATCTAATCAAGTACCCTTTCCCCGCAGGAGGACAAACGGAGCTACTGTTTTCTAACGGTTGCCCAGTATTCGCACACTTGCAGTTCCAGTATAGTCACAGAACATCGGGGCGGTTTCCACTCTTCCGCTATTGCAAACAACGCTCCAGTGAAAAATGTGCATGCGCGTGTGTGTGCGTGTGTGCATGTGTGTGCGTGTGCGTGTGCATGTGTGTGTGCATGTGCATGTGTGTGTGTGTACAAAGAGAACATTTGTGGAATAAATTCCTAGAAATAGAAGTGGACGTGCACTTTTAAGTTTTAAAGGTAACGACAAATTGCCACTGCCTTCCCTGCGTGTCCCGACTTCACCTCCTACCAACAGTCTCCATTGTTGCTGACATGAGAGGCAACCTTCTCAGAGCAGCTTTGATCCGTATGTCTTCTATGAGGAGCAAGAGAGACGTTCCCCATGCACTTAAGAACCATCTGCAAACTTTTAGTTCGAATCCTCTGTAAATCTTTTCCCTGCTGGGGTTTGGTATTCTTCTTGGTGATCTGTAACTGCACTTTATATATTAAGGAAACTAGCTTTTTCCTACATGGCATTTTTAAAAATAGCTTTATTGAGACATGATTCTACATTTTACCTATTTAAGGTGTACAAGTCAATGTTTTGTGGTATAGTCACAGTTATACAACCATCACTACAATCTAATTTTAGAACATTTTTTCACCCCCAAAGGAAACCCTGTACCCATTAACAGTCACTCCCCATCCTACCCCCACCTCCTCACCACTCAGGCCTAGGCAACCCCTCATCTACTCTCTGACTCTAAGAGTTCCCTATCCTAAATATTTCATGTAAGTGGGATCATGCAATAATGGTCTTTTTGGGTCTTCTTTTACTTAGTGTAATGATCTTAAGGTCCATCCATATTGTGGCATGTGTCAGTACTTCATTCATTTTGTTGCTGAAAAATAGTCCATTGTATGGGCAAGCCATGTTTTATGTGCACTCATTCATCAGATGATAGACACTGAGTTGCTTCCTGTTCTCGGCTGTTGTGAGTAATGTTGCTGTGAACTCTCATGTACAAGCTGCTTAGTGCTTTATAAAGTTGAATTCGTTGCCCCAATATTTAAAAATGAGAGACTGCACACAGACATATGACCACCCTGGTCCAGAATGCTTATGGCGTTGATGAGCTGAAGTTGCAAAGTGGCCACCCCATCAGACTGACGCCACCTGCACGGTGTCACCTGCGTGGCACGTGTAGTCTAGGAGTCTGAGACAGGCTTTCACACAGGCCCTGCACTGTGACCACACACCTGTCCCCTGTCCCTCCTGGACTGGCCTGAGCAGCACCCCTAGTCGCTCGTTAGAAATGCAAAACCGCAGGCCCCACCTCAGAGCTACAGACTCAGAACCTGCATTTCAACACGAGGCCCAGGGGGTTCCCATGCCATAGAGTTTAAGAAGCACTGAGCTGTGAGATGGTCTGTTTCCACAGTAACGCTTGCCTGGGTAACTGCCTGTTTATGAGGTTGTGCACCAGGTTCAGAGCACAGACTCCGGATCCAAATCCAGCTCCGTGCTCCCGAGCAGGTTACTTCACAAGGACAAGGACAGGAGCTACCGCAGAAGTGCGCTCTCAGGACTACATGAGCTAATACATGTAAAACACTTAGAACTGCAGACCTCTCGGCCTCTGTGTGCTCGGCGTCTTCATGTGGAAACCCAGGTGATGATGGGCCTGCCCGGGGCTGTTGGAAGAATGGCTGCTTTCGTGCACATGAACGTCTTAGCTCGGTGGTTGGGCACTGCAAGTGCTCCGTCCCTTTGGCAATTTAGTGTGATTCTCTCCGGGGCCTATCCAGGGAAGGGAGCAGGCTCTGTTCAGGAAAGGGAGGCTAGGACTGAGACCAACAGGTGCGAAACGTAAGAGCAAAGTGCCCAGGGTCGGGGGAGGCCCGGGTAGAGGTGGGCTTGCTACCCCTGGGCTGTGGGGAAGCGAAAAAGGAGCAGCATTAGGTGCCTTCCCCTCTGGAATTCTCAGGCAGGGACCCAGACTGAGGAGGCTGCGGAGGGGAAGGCAAAGAGAACAGACATTTACGAAGCACTGTGCGTGCTGGCTTTGCGCTCAGAGCTCTGCATCCTGCAGGCCCCCATTCACCTCTCCTCATAACCATGTGGGGCAGGGATATCACCAACCCATTTACCAGATGGCAAAACTGAGGCCTGGGGAAGGAACAGGACTTGCCAAAGGGTTTCCAGTGTGAGAAGCAGGAGGTGAGGCCCGGTCTTGGCTCACCTTTCCCAAGTGTGTCCCATTATAAAGCTGGGGTGCTCAGGAGGAGAAATCCTCCAGGCCCCAGGGCCCCCAGCTCAGCCGGCCAGCGGCTCTGCCCTCCTGCAGGTCAGAGGAGAGACACGGCCTGGTGAGCAGGGGTGATGCCTCCTGGAAGGGCTCAGTCCCAATGTGGTTTATGCCTACAGATGAGGGTAGGGCCAAAGGGAGCAGGACTTTTTGACAGAACAAAGGCTTCTGTACCCCCCAACACGATCCCTCGGCCTCTTCTCATAAACTTCGCATGAAACAGCCGGTTATGCTGACGGCTCTGCAGGGGCCGCCACCGCCTCAGCCGGGAAGGGTGCCAGGTCCAACCAGGCTCTCCTGACCCGGGCCCCTGCCACGTCCCCTCCGGGGAATCAGATCTGCCAGGAGCCTGGGCAAAGCTCTCTGGGGCTCAGACCCACCGCGTCAGGCACAGACAAGCCCTCTGGAGACCAGAGAACCAAGGGTCTTGCTCAAGGACACACAGAAGACTGGGGACTGAGCTGGGACGAGGGACTGGGTCCCCCTGACCTCCGAAGCTGGGGTGGAATTGCTGTGGGGGGCAGCCTGGGAAGTGGGCGGTGGTGGCCGGCGTGGGAGTAGGAGGAGGCCCTGTGCCAGGAGCAGTGAAAGCGGGGCTGGGTGGGGGTGGGAGAGCCGTCCAGGCGGCCAGCGTCGTGGGAAGAGACGCAGATGATGCTGACACTATTTGGGCGCTTCTTCGGTTTTCTTCCCACCAACTCATGAGATTTCTGGCCGCTGGCCATAAGATGGTGCACTCCCTGTCCCTGGGGATAGGCAAGCAGAAGCTGGGTGAACAGCTAGCTGCCAGGAAAGTTGCCAAGGGGACTTATGACCTGGTCAAGCAGTCGGACCGAGTAATTCTGAGGGCATGTCCAGCTCTGCAGTCCTTCGGCCTCTTGTGAAGTGCCCCCGGGCAGGTGTGAGAGGGGCACGCGCAGACGCTGCTGGGCTGAGGGCGGAACAGGTATGCTTCCTACTGTATTTTCATCGTGCAACTTGGCAGTAAGCCTTCAAATGTGGAAAAAAAAAAAAAAAAAGTCCATTCCTTCCCTTCAGCAAATCCAGGCCTGAGCGACCATCCTAACCGTGACCAGAGTTGTGGACCGGAGTCCTGTCCTGGGAAGTTCATCATTGTTTATGACAGCGAACAACTGGAACAAGCTAAGCATCCAACACGATGTCACACCCATTGGATGAGTGACAACAGAGCCACTAAAATATTTATGAGGATTTTTTAAGGGTTTGGGAAAATGCTTATAAAGAAAGCAGGATAAATGATCACATATCGACTGCTTTCAGGGCGAAACTGTAAAAAGGAAAACGAGGCAAGAGAAGAGCTGGCGGGAAATCAGCCTCCAGGAGTCAGCGTGCTCTACTCTGTCTTCAATGCGTAGGTATACCTTCCACTAAGACAGTTCGTCAGCGGACTCCCTGGCCTGCAGGCTCTGCCTGCCCACAAGGGGGCGTCCTGCACTTTCCCAACAGAGATGGTGGCTCTTTCCCGCTTTGCCCCTGCAGGTGTGGACACTGGGGCCTGGGTTCAGGGCACTGGTGACCTCTGGCTGCTGGTTCTGTTGGACTCTGCTTGGGTCCAAAGAGCTGCCCTCCCGCCATTCATGGAGTGGACTTCCTATTCCTGGATCCCATCTGCTCCCTGGATTTGAGGACAGCCAGAGAAGTATCCACACCTGTCACAGGACACAAGAGCCCAGCTGGTCACTCTGCCCATTAGCGTCCCTGCCCTGCTTCCCAAAGTCCCACCAGGAGTGAGCCAGCCTTTAGGGTGAAGCAAGTTAGAGGGAGTCCCTTTTGTGGGGCGATGACTCAGCTGTGGCAGTGTGAGGCCGAGCATCCCAGGGACCCTGGGCTCAGGAGGTGGCAGCACCGCGGGGTTGCTGAAGACTTGCAGCTACGCCCTGCACAACACGACCCCAGGCTGGTACCACCCCAGGACGCA